AGGAAAGTTGAGAAGCTAGTTACAGTTTTGAAGGAGACCTGGATGTGATGCGACTTGCAAATAGGGATGTGGAGGTTGGCAAGGCTTTGGGATTATTTTTCTTAGGTGGTGAAACATTTGCTAGAAAATCTTTTGATGCATTCGAAAAACAGGAGAGGTATAAGAAGACCTTTGTAAAGGAAGGAGGGGAGGCGTGAGTTGAGGGAGGCTTGGATGAGGATCTTGATGGGGATGAATAATTCTGTCTTTAGGAAGATTCTGTTGGGGTTGTTTTTCGGTCAGAGATGTTGAAAGTGAGTTTGAGTGTTGATGTTTCTGCGAGTTGTTCTCTCAGGCGATTTCTTAGCRCCTTCCCCTTGTAATTTCTTATCAACTAAAGGACTGTGTTGATCCCAGGTAAGTCTCCTCTCCATCTCCTTTAAGTCTCAACGCCCACACAGCTTTTCACCTATCCCCATATCTAAGGCTCATTTTTGTTCCTTTGAATCAGTTTTCAAAAATCCCCACGTCTTACTTAATGCAGCTATATACCCTAGACAAACCCTTGTCAACCCTCCTCTAAACCTACATCTGGCCTCTCAATCCCAAACCTGTTGACCTAACCTCGTGTGATCATCATTTATTTGTTAGTTTCCCTCAAATTTGTTAGTAGTCCTGCCTTGGATCATATCAGTCCTGCATCACTTGCTCAGTATGAGTGCTATATATTCCAGTGGAAAATTTCCACCACTTAAATATTATATSAGATGACTCRTATAATATTTACCAGGTGATGGATACCATAATTTGGGTTTCTAGAATTCATCAATTTGAACATCTGTCATATTTTTACATGGATAGTATTAATGGAGCACATAAAGAAGATGGTTCTCATTGTAAATAAAACCTGAAAATAAAGTAACAGGGATTGTATTAATCCAGACAGGCAGAATTGATTTATTGACATTATGTGCAGCTTGAAATGATACAGGAGAAATGTTGTTTGCTTGATTTATCCTTTCCAATTCATTATGCCTTATATTCTTGTTTTGATTCGAGTTTCATTATGGATGTGCATTATGTGTGATATTTACTCTTGCATGCATACTGTTAAATCTTGGTTTTCAGAGAAATTTATTTGTACTGTCCTGCTTAGTTCTTCTTGTAATATGTTTGTTTAAGCTCTAAAACTTATAATACTTACAAAATTTAATTTGTACTGTAGTATGTGCTGGAAGAACTCAATATCAGATCAATTACTCCATGTAATGATTCTTTGAAGTACGCTTCTTTACGTGCAGAACCTGATTTCAGGTAGAGAATATATATTATTTTAAATCATAAAATCTTCTTGGAATTTGCCCCTATATAGATTCTTTTTTATATTTTTTGTGAATCACTTGCTGGTTCAATGACTATAGCTGGGATAAAAAAAGAAGATTTGTACTGAGGTGCTGCCCTGCCTTGGCTTTGAAAGATGGGCGCCACCCAACAGCTTATAAGAAATGTTTGGTGAAAAACCTGGAAAGCCCAAAGAAATTTCTCTTAGTGGCTTTTCTAAAAAAGCTCAATCAAAGATCCACCCCTCCCACTCAGAGTCTCAGACCCTGAGAAAATTTTGGTTTGCTTCCTTAAGGGAGTATATTATATATTTTGTTTTATCCATATTCATTATTATTTTAACAATTCTCTTTGATCATTAAATGGTAGAAAATGATACTGTCTTATTTCTGAGATTGTTTTTTCCTGTAGTGTATTAGGTAAGCGGCTTGGAAAAGCTATGGGAATTGTTGCTAAAGAGATTAAAGCAATGTCTCAAGCAGACATATTAGCATTTGAGAGAGCTGGAGAAGTAACTATTGCTGGGCACTGTTTGAAGCAGACTGACATTAAGGTGCTTCGTCATTTCTGAATCTCTCCTTTTGTACTTCAATACATTGTGAATTTGATGGAAGTGATTTTGTTGTACTACTTGAGTATCAATTCAGTCCTATGTATTCTGCTGAAATCTAGGTTGTAGCTTTGTGAAGTTAAAATATGGATAAACTGATAGATTAGTAGCAAACTTACTAATGATTCTTGATGGATTATGGAAAGAATTGGAAGAAGAGATGTAGAAAGTGGGAGAAATAGCAATATTCTCTCTTCCATCTAAACAGAGCAAACCTAGGTATTATCATTCTTGTTTTGTCAATACAGTGTGCAATCTGAAATAGCAAATTCCTTGGATAACATAGCAAACCTAGCAAAATTTTCAAGTTTTTAAATTTGCTAGCAAGGGCATTCTACCAAGTTCATCATTTACTGGAAATCATCCTTGAATCTCCAGGTTATCCGTGATTTCAAGCGTCCAGATAATTTGACACAGAAGGAAATAGATGCAGCTGGAGATGGTAAAAAATTATTGATTTTCTTGTAAGCATACAGAACGATTTATGTTGTTTATGATTTGCTAATTATGTCACATGTAGGTGATGTTTTGGTGATTTTGGATTTGCGTGCTGACGAGTCATTGTTTGAGGCTGGAGTGGCTCGAGAGGTAAAAAGTTTTCTGCTATAGATTGTTCTTGCTACACATTGATCTTCGCCTAAACTTTTTCACTACATCTTCATGAACGTCCCTGCCCCTCATGAAATTTGTGTCTCTTTGTTTCTTTTACTCTATGGCTATAGGGTTATTCCTGGACTGGTGAGCTTGGAATTTGCATTTATGAATTATCTTAAATTGAATTGAATTAAATTTAATTTATAAATAAATTTGTTTGTTTGATGTTGGTTTTGAATCACGTGGTAGATTATAGGAGGTAGGACATGAATGGGCCAGATCTGCAGTGGACCCAATTTTATTTTGTTCTAGGTCCAAATAGGGAAATCTCTTATTGGATATCGGTCTGAATCTGAATATAATGTGACATGGTGGATTAGGGCACCAAATGGTGTTGGTTGATCTGAGACACAACCTTGCCCATCTGACCAACATCAGTAACAAGGATCTGTTCAAAGTTGAACCAGATAAGCATTCAATCATGTAAAAGTTTCTTTTATGCTGTGTTTGGTTGTAGCGCAAATAAATTTGCACGGTGCTAAACAATGATAGTACAAACGATTTGGGTGCAAATTCTAATTTATTTTTGTTTCAAATTTTACACCTCTCTGCAAAGTCTTGAATCATGATTTATGTTGTTTTTATACTGATTCTTTTCCTCAAGTCCTCTAACCTTCCTTGCAAACTCTTCACCCCCGCCCCCAGGAGAAACAAACCCAATGTTTTCCTCACCTCTACTTCTATGTTCACCACTTTCTCCAATTCCAAAGAT